CAGATACTTCTGGAGTGTCGAATATTAGACACAAGCGTCCTATGGTGACTTACTATCAGTTTGATCTTTTTGAACAGACCTCTACGAGAAACGCCATGCTTTTTAATTACAAAATGAAATAAGTATCGTTATTTAATATCTGATTGTTCTTTTCATCGGAGCTTTTTCATGTGTTCACTTGGAACAATGATGTTTTCTCTTTTTTCATTAATATACTCAACTTGTTTTTGAAGAATTATACAAGCCATTAATAAATCACTACCAATAGCAAAATCTTCATCTGTAAGATAAATAAAAATAAAAATAAAATAGTTTTTCATGAAATAAGATGAGATTTTATGTTCTACGTTAGATATAATAGTTGATCGTGACAACAACGCCGGATAACTGGTAAATTAAAATTTCGACCAAGTAAACTTTGTGATATTGGCAAATTGAAGTAGGCATCAACGATACGCGTGAATGGATCATTGTCAGATATTTGTATGGATTCACAACTTGAATTAACACTGTTTACTTCAAGAGGAACGATGAATTTCTGATGATTTTCATGCTCAAGAATGAAATCCTATTAGCTATTTTTCTAATGATATCAAAAATGAAAATCTGTGTACCTTTTCGACGCTCTTTCAATTCTTTAACCCTTTCAGTCCCAAATTATTTCTGCCAGATTCAAATGAAGTAGAATGAGATAAGTTTATTTTGGACATAAACGCATGGCATTAATAGCTCGCCTGTGGTCTTATGTGATTTACTCAGTATACGTTTTATTGAATCTTGCTATCCTTGAATGAATATTGTGATCGCTAAAGTTTATTACTTCGAACACTTATGCAAGTTTTTCATGAAATAACAAAAATCAATTTTTTTTTACACAAAGAGAAATGCCACAATAGCTGCATATCATGCTATTAAACACTGGAGAAGTTCTTGTACTGCAGTATCTGCATGTTCCTTTGGATCCAGCAACACTCATATGTGCTGATAATTGAGCTGATGAAGATTTATTCCACAACGTTTGTTGGATTTCTTTTTCCTTTCTCGTAGAAAAGCGGATAGGTTTGCTTCTTCTTTTCCGTGAACTTTGGTCATTAGTTAATGACGTTGAGATAAAAGAAGGGAATTCAACTGCTTCCCTTTCGATTTCGACAGTGTCGTCTTTTTCATCTATTTCAAAGTCGCCTTCGTTTTCGTCCTAAGAATCATTTTTATTATCAAAAGATGACTCCCTTGTATGAATTTCTTTATCATAATCCATTTACTTCTGTTACGGAGACAACGTATATTATAGTAGCAAATTAGAAAAGAATTCGGTGCTCCGCTCAGGTTGCATACTAATTTTTGGAGATCTGGATTAATCCGAAACGCCGTCTTCAATACTTCAAAAAAAAAATGTTTGAGAACATCCCATAACTTTCCCAATGAATAACTATATATCTCATTGACAGATTGTTTGGGAGGATCCTAGAGCATTCTCTATNTACGAAAGAAATTGATATTGTTTTATTTTTAGGACGTGACAATGACAACGATGAAGTCACTTTCTCATCTCATATTAGAAGTCGACTTGATTTGCCTATCTCAAAAAATTTACTTGCTCGAGGTTTTCCATTATCGATCATCAAACGTTGCTATGAAGCTCAATTTGACTTAAAACGTAAGATAGTTGTTTTTTTTCCAGAGGACATAAATGAAATTTAATTTACTTCCTATGTTAGATGATGATTTTGTCAGTGATTCTGATCTTCTAGTGGCTTGTATGATTCTTCAAAAACAAATCGAACCTATTGACGAAGAGATTATCATTCCACATGTAAAAATGAATCAGATTCGTGAACAACAGCAAATAGGTATTCGTAGTTCAACTAATATATAATATGACAATTCAGTTTCATAATTTTGTAGAAAACTTGGCTCACAGAAAGTTATTAACGAACCCTTGGGATGATATTGTTGTTGAAACGGAAACCTCATCACAACATATCAGAAGCGAAACGAATGTAGCCGATCAAAACAGTGAATCCCCAAAACAACCGAATCGTTGTGTTGTATGCTTGGAACAAGAGAAGCGTCTTGCCTGCATTCCTTGTGGTCATTTAGCTATGTGTATTTTGTGTGCTCGTTTGCTTCGATTCTGTCCGATGTGTAGAACGACAATTGAAGCTTTTGTTCGTATATATCAATGAACATGAACGATTAAAATTGACTACTGAGAGGAAGAGAAACATTTGCTTTTTATTTGCTTGAATATTGAATTAAAATAAGGATTTGTAAATTCTTTTAATTGAATATAAATCGAATATCAATAAACCAGAACAATACGAGAATCGCTATTCGAAATAGATCATTCATGCTAAACTATACAGTAGATAGAGGCCATTGGGTTGGTTCCGGATTCGAAAAATTCTAACACCAGAATTCATCAATCACTTACAAGAAAGTAGAATGATTCCTTTATCTTCAATAAAAATGCCCTTACTTTATGAATAAAATTAACACAAAATGTTTCCAGATTTTTTATGGAACTCACATATATTTTCGTAGAAAATATTGAATGTAAGCTTTTAAGGTCAAGTTTTCGCGACTTCCCATTCCTGCCCCCTCTCCATTACACCCCTCCCTCATTACAGACCTTAAGAATCAATAATAAAAGGTATTAGCTTTTCTGGAGTTTTTTTTTTGACAAAACTTGATCGAGTTATAATTTTGAAAAATAATGAATATCATTATTTGTGACTTGATTAATATATATGATAGTATGTAAGATTTGCTGTAAATATCATCGATATGTAAAACACATTTATCTGTCAATTAATTCAATGATTATAATAATAAGAAGGATAAATTAAGGAAACCGATTTAAAAAATAAAATAAAAAATGATGAGCGAATAGCAACAGTGAAAACAAAAAAATAGGGTGTCTGTAGAAAAAGCTAAAAGAATTTATTCGAAATGCAGAAATTGGAGAATTTTCTACTTTAGTGATTGATTATCCTGCAAACAATTATAGTTTTACGAGAGATTTTTCATTTTACGTCTTTTGTATTATTTTAGTGAGACTAGAGAGTATATGTGAGTTCCACATTTCAGCCCCAAAGGGGCTGCTCTTAGAATTTCTTTTAAGTACTTCAAAAAAAGGTATATGTATTCATCATCTGGATATTCTGAAGAAAGATTTGTAATTGATTTTGAACTTTTTATTTTACTATTAGAGCACTTTTTCGTATTCCATCACATCACTAACGAAAAATAAATCGATTTTTTTCGAAAATGTAGGCATGCTTAGAAAAAACTTTGGATAGAGATTTTGTAGTTTCAGGAGTTGTCTACAGAATGTATTATTTAGTTTTCAAGTATGCTACCTCATTTCAGAGTTTTTTTAACTGAAATACATAAAATGATAATCGATAATCTGTTTTGTGTCACGTTGCTAACGATAGGTTCTTATTGATAACTTCTCTGAACTAAGATCTCTAGCGCTGATGTTTTCGAGCTATCTAAAGTAACTTAACATACATGTAACAGATAAAAATGAGCTTGTAAAAAAATTCATTATCTTAAAATACACGAGTTTTATTTTTGCGAGGTCGCACCGCTCATGAATGACTTTGCCCATATAACTTTACTTGTTGTGTAAGTATTCAAAAGTTCATTTTATTTTCAATCTCTCTATCTGAATAAATAAACAAAGTCTCGATTTACTCTTATGATACATTCTTATGTACTTTGTGATCTTTGAACTTTATATGTTATTATGATTAATATATGAAGTGATGCAGTGAAATCTGTACTTTCTCGGTATATATGAATTATTACTGTAGTAATCTTAAGCAAGAAAAACAAAGAAGGGAATTCAGTTGAGTCGCATCATAAATACGTAGACGAATACCAACAAAGACTCAAATTCCAGACTAATTTCCAAATATTTAATGTATGATAAAAACTACTTATTTGTTTTGAGAATACAAATTCCCTCACGTTTTTCTTTCTACTGTACAATTGTAAAACTTAGCTTTTAAAGAATAATAACGAAAATAAAAAAAGAATTACACGTGTAGCTAAACATGATATAAAAAAAAAATGTTGATATTCCTTTTCTTTTATCGTTTGTTCTCTTTTATGTTATTTAAATAATATGATCGAGTGTATTGATACTTGAAAAATAAAACTTGATTAGTACGATTAAAGTCGATGTTAAAGTATAAAAAATGATAAGAAAAGAAAATTATTCACTAATATTATTTTCTTGTGTTCTGAAACAAACTAACAAAAAAAAACGAATAATATTGGTCAGGGTTTCATTCAATGCACATCAAAGAAAGTAAATAATGAATGATAACATGTATGAAACTAACTATTATCATTTGACTTATAAATCGGTGCTGGATTTTTTTCATTTCTTTCGAAACATGCAGACGCTTGCCAATCCCTTTTCTTATTTATTTTATTTTATACGAGTATTAATCTCGGAATGTCAAGAAAACATAACGTCTAATATTACTATATGTGTTGAAGGACAATATTAATTTTATTATTCATAATAATAGTTCAGTGGAAAGATGAAGAAGATCTTATAGTACATAGTTACTCTTCTCTTAAATATTTAGTCACCTAGTTGTTCTCAGTCGACAAACATGAATATATTTTAATGGTATTTTCTCTTGCGTCTTTGAATAATTGCACATCGATACATCAGACAGATTCTTTCTTACATGTGATAAAATTAAACTATAATAGACATTTTTCGCATAGGAGATTTGTTATTTCATATTTTACATTTTTTTCCTCCAGGCAAAAATATAAAATACTTCTGTATTAGACATGTTCTTTTTCTCTGAAATATTAAAGAATTTTGGTTCATAGCAAAATTCAATCTCTATTGATATATAATTATTTTCGTAATGAAAATAGATTTAATTATATTTATAAAAATTTTACAACAACAACAACAGCATTATAGCAGTTGTTTCTTTTTTATCTCTAATGATTAGAAAAGTGTAATGTTGCAAGAATCTTTATTAACATATATTATATATAAAATAAAAACTTCTTGGGAGTTTATTTTATTTGTTTTCATTATTTTTGAATTTTCTTCTACTTATTCTACTTCAATAACAACATTATCATCATCAACTTATCATCATTTTGAATTAATATCAAATAATTCTTATCGTAATTTTTTTCTAAGACAATATTTTATTGATTTAATTAATATTTCTCATTCATCACTTATTCAATCAATGATTGTAAATCATCATTTAACAACTAAATTAGAACAAAGTTCGTTATTTTATTAATTAATTTTTTTTTTCCTATGAAAACTTTTAATTTATTTTCTAGTTGAAAATCGAAAACGTAGATATATAACTGATAAATCATTTTCTTTAACTCCAACATTTACATTACATTCAACAAATTGTTTAATAATAAATAATAATGAAGTTCGATCAACATTTCAGTGGTCTCATTCAATAGGATCCTTATCGTCTGTTGAACTTATTTATCATATTGATTTAATTGAAATAAAAAAATCTTCAATACCTATACATATTTCACTAAAGCAATCACAAACATTTATTGAATTATTTTCAATCGATACATATTTGTATATTGATTCTATTCGAGATTTTTATGTTCTTAACTTATATGATTATTTATTACATATAAATAATCAAAATATAATTATTGAAACAACAATTAATAATCAAACATGTCAAACATTACATACATATATAATAATATCATTATTAAAATCTAATCAATTGTCTTCATATGATCGTCAAAAAACAACAATATGTAAAGTAAAAACGATTCAAATTAAATTTGAAGAACTCGGTTTAGCTTATTTAATCATTAGACCAAAAGAATATACATTTACTTATTGTGATGGTTCATGTACAAATTTATCACTTCAACAACAATTACAACAATCATCAATATATGAATTAATACAATCAATTATTAGGAAAAAATTTTCTAATATTCCTCAAAGAAATTGTGTATCATCACAACTTGCTAATGATAATTTTCTTCTTCGACAAACAGATGGATCTGTGGAAATATATCCGATTAAAGATATTATTGTTAAACAATGTGCTTGTCTGTGATTTCATTATTTGTTTTATTAGAAAAAAAGAAAGAAAATGAAGACATCAAAGGATCTTAACAGCTACATTATTCAGTGTATCAGACAAAAAAAAAACAAAATTACAAATGAATCGAAATTAGAATGCATAGAAATCAATCATTTGACAAAATGATTTACTGAACGTATTTTCTTCAATGGACATCATTAATCCTTACATTTCTTCGCTTCGACGTATTGAACTTTTGTAGCTTATTGTTCTCTGTTTATTCAACCATTAAATTCTGTAAGTGGTAATGATTTCGAAATTTTAGTTTAGCTTATATTTAACAAGACAAACAATGTACATACATTAAATCGTCAGTAATAAATAGCGAAATAGATATTCACATAAGTAAAAAATAATCATAGAAAAATTTTATAGTCCAAAAATCTTGAAGTTCGAAACATTATAGATATTATACATAATTTCTGAAATGTATTCGAGCATGAAAATATGATTAGAAATACGAAAGAACAAGCGAAGAATGGAATTTACATTAGAAATTCTTATTTCGTAATCTGGTATTTTTTAACTTTTATCCTTTCTGTTTCTTTGACACTATAATGCATGTCGAGATAGTATAT